AAGATGACGTCCAGACCGCTGCAGAAATGTTGAATAAAATAAATTCTTTGCACCACATAGTCAATTTGAATACATCCATCCATTATCTGTACCTCCTTTTCCTTGCAGGATGGTGAGGTAGTGGGTGCATAACCCGGCAGTCACCGGGCGAGAGGCGTGTTACACCCTGAGCAGGTCACCAGGGCAACACAACGAAACCAACCAACCACACACACACTTCTAACTAACAGCAATTGGAGAAATTATTTGACCTATCAGTCCTGTTTTTGGACAGCGAGAGGAAGCGGGAGATCACACGCAAACTTCTTGCAGATAGACCCCAGGACACTCCAGGACAGTCTTGCTGCAAAGCAGCCATGCTACCTTTTAAAGTAATCTAAAAAAAGATGCCGTATAAAGAGAAACTAAGAATCTCAATAGTTTGAGTATTACATGTGTAACTGGAGTATTTAGATGCAAAAGTTCAGCCACAGACAAAGAAAAAAAGAGAGTCAAACAAACTGTATGTCAGGCTGCAGCATACAAGCGCCCTATAAGAAATAAGCTGCTTAGTGTCCACATGCAGTTTAGGCTCCACAATAAGGGAGAATGCAAGTGCATGCCAATGAGACAAGTTTGTCCTCTACTGTTTGCACACGGGTACTACATCATGTCATGAAGAATTCAGATTCAACTCCACCACTTGGAAGAAATTAAAATGGTGAAGCACTAAAAGATTGGAAGTCAGAATCCAACATTTCCTCTGTGGTCAGCTGGTCTAAAAATAAAAAAAAGACTTGGTTTAACATGTTAATTAAATGCATCAAATGGATAAATCTTTGTCAGCAAAGATGCTTACCAAGATGCTCATCAGATAAATCTTAGGAATTTATAAATTTGTTAGGGTTTATCGTTTGATCGACATATTTTCAGTTGAAATCTAAACTACTAATCCTATAGAAACAACCTGCAATACTTCCTTTGAGTCATTTAAAAAGGGAGAGAAAGAGAGAAGAAGAGAGGTTAAAAGAAGAATAGCAAGCCAGACCTCTATGATAAAACAAAAGGTTAATCAATGAATGACTACTTTACCAAAATATAGCCCAGCAACTGTTAAATTTCATTTAAAATAAAGCCTTAATAGCATTTACAGCTGAAGATCTTTACATCCAATTGGCCAGTCTAATCCTGAAGATTAAACTTTACAAACTCTTCATGCCAAGATAATTTCCTTGAGACAAAAAAGCTTCTAAACTGATAGGAAAAAAAATTGAATACTTATCAAAAGTATATTACAGTCAGGAAAAACTCATCAGAATCAGTGATTAGGTATCCTAACGTGTAGGACAGAACAGAGAAAAGGAATGCAGGTTTATGTGATTCCCAAGACCCTATCTGACATAACTAAAAACTCTGCTTTACTCAAGTAATAACGGAATTATTACTGGAAATTCACCAATCAGGCTTTGATTACGACATCATCATCAGATAACTTTGGCTTAAAACTAAATATTCAACTACGGTAATATTACTCGCTAATAAAAATGGATATTGATTTTAGTGACAAAAGGATTATTTCTATGGCATTCTGTGGTAAGATGCATAAAACTGATGTCTGAGTCTGCCACAGGAGAGATGCTGAAGCAAAATTTTTGTGCTGTTTTTAAGAAACATATAGCTGAATTGCTATTTATAATGACTGAACAGAACAAGAGGGAGAAAAATACATTGCTTATATAATTATTGACCAAAAGTCCAATGTCGTGCATCCCTAATTTAATGTAAATAAAACCTAAATAATCAGATTATCTGTATAAGAGCTGCCAATCACCAATACAAACCAGTTAAGGAAAAATGGACTGATTCCAATCTATCCAAATTGATTAAAGCAACACTAGTTCCTACAAGGTTTTAATTAAGATTTCAGACTCAAATATTTCATATTATATGGATCATTCTTTCAGATCATAAACATAATAAGCTAAGTTATGAAGCAGAGAGACAGTCTAATTGCATCTCTTTGCAGCTCAGTTTGGAAACTTAAACATGCTGCAAGTTGGTCTTTGAACTACCCATGAAAAAATTAGAAATGAATTCAGCAACAAATTATTTTTGTTGTTGAATTTAGCGGTTTACAAATCGAAACTAGGGTTGTCACGATACTAAACTTTTCAACTCGATACCGATACTATTCGATACTCGATACCATTTTCGATACCACAAGGATAAAAACAAAGACTCCAAAATTCTACAGAAATAATTTCATAAATAAATAAAATACAATAAACAATATTTTGAGGTTGTATGCTGTGCACAATATTAAGCAAGCTTGATAAAAAAAAACTTATAAAATTAAGTGTTCCAGTCTGAAACTGAAAAGTGCACAGAATGATTCAATCACACAGTGTTCAGAAAGTGCATTGTCCTCTATTCTGCACTTTAGATGAATGACTGCTTAGGTGCCACTGGTGGTGGCACTGTATCAATACTTTTAAAAAACGAGTATTGTATCCGGATACAACATTTCAGTATCGATACTTTTTTGAGTATCGATACTTTTGACAACCCTAATCAAAACTACGCCAAAAAGCTTCTGAAGAGTTTTATTTTACACGTTTGTAACTTAGTGTTAAATGTTTATTAATATACACCCCCTAAATATGTGTGTATTCTCTTACACATATGCATATAGACATATACATTTGCATACCTAAACACATATGTATATATGTATCTCCAAAGTGTGTTTTCATATGAAATACATAATGACTCGGCCACACTTCAAAACGAAGCCTGAGAATTGTCTTCATAATCTATTAGTTTAAATGTTTCATAATAGTAAACATAAGCTGTTTGAGGAAGGCGGAGACGACCCATCATCATTATCGTGTGGTGCTCCTTTAAACGGGGAGGTCCTGGTGTCCAAATTAAACGCCCCTGTAGCAAACTAAAGGAGCCCTATAGCTAAAAGGAGCTAACACTTTGGACATTTTTAAGAATTACTTGATATAGCCACGGGTTGATAAAAAGTTTATATCTTCATTTTATGTTGTACGCTGAAAAATATCCCAAGTAGTGTTTAAAGATAACAGTAAATAGTTCAATAAGCGGTACAAACTGCCCATCATCCCCTGCCATCATAATGCTAAGACCTTAGCGTCTAGCTAACACCGGTTTAATGGCTGTAAAACGCCCAGTATTAGCAAACGGTCCAAACGGAGGAACACAAATGCTTACCAATCCTTCAATCTGGATCTGTTTGACCGGAGAATCCAAAGTACCGCCTGTGGAAGCCATCTGTGCGCTGGATGATGTGCTGGAATCCTTACGGGAAGCCATTTACCGGAGTCCACGCGAAAGAAAGGGAGGAAATTTTAGGTGAAGCACGTTTCCGGTCCTCGGTCCGTGTAGAAACAACGAGATGAAATGATTCCGCCAGAAAAAAAAAGGAGACCCTGCTAGCTACAAATACTGATGTTACACATTATTGGGGCTATGACTGAACTAATAGAGGAACTTTTGAAAGGTTCTATATTTGGCTGCTTGGAACTTAAAAGTCCAGTTTATTCACTCTAAAATCATTTAACTAGGTCGAGTAATTATGCCCTGGTGCATATGGTTCATAGTTAAAATTACTTTTAATCATAAATTGCATTGGGGTTTATAACTGCTTTATAATCCACCTTAGGGAGTTCTGGAAGAAACACAAATTGACCATGTGTAACAACAAAGCACATCACTCTACCGCCATGTTTGATATTAGGCATGATTGATATATTATGTAATACTGGCACTTGGTTTTTATTCACATCCTTCCCTCTTTAGACCACAGAATCTGCATTTGTACCATATATGAGTCTGTTTTTTTTCAGTTAAGTGTTGTGTGAATGTGTTTTAATGAAATTGAATTCAGAATTTGACCTTGATCAGCAAAAAAAAAAAAAAAAGTACTGAAGAGGAAAAAAAGCAAACAATTTATCTTTGAAACTGATTTGAAACATTTACAAGAAAAAGGCAAGATAAAACATCTGTAAAGGATATTCTCTTATTAATACATAATTTTACTTAATCAGATCAAACAGTTTAAACACTTCAAAGTCTTTAAATAATGCTTTTCTAACAGCTTATAAAATGTTTTATTTTCAAATCTTTCAGGGTTGGCTAATAGCTTTTCCATTCAAATGAAATAATTCTATATAGCAACAGGTTAAATAAAAAGGAAAATGCAGTGTGACTTAAGTACTTAAAACATTTTATTTCAAATCTTTACAGATGTATCACAACTAGAAGTTACCCAGAGTCTAAAAAGGTGGGATAGTGAGCTTAACTGTAACAAGTACATAACCTAGTTACATAATGCAAAAAGGCCCAAAAAAAAAAAAAAAAAAAAAAAAAAAAAAAAAAAAGAAAAAAAAAAAAAAAAAAAGCATAACAAAAAGGTACAAAAAAAAGAAACAAATTTACACAAACCTTAGTTTACTGCCTTAATTATACATCTGAATCTTATTTAAAGCCAGATCAAACTTGCGAATTCAAAGATTAACCTTTTTATTAGAGAACAAGTGCAACAGAAAGTTGGGTAAGGTTACACTTCTGAACGATAAAACAGTACCATTCCAGAACATCTAGTCATTACAAAGTTAACGTGATACGAGGGCTTTCAATACAAATCAGAATATTGTTTAGCTGAAACAGGGGGACTGATACAAAACTTGCGGAATGAGACAGACACATTTCCCAAAAACAATATGCAGTGAAGTTTTACAAATTGGTGACTGAAAAAAAAAGGGCGGTGGGCTTTATAAATACACTGCCAAAACATTCCTCACTCTGTTAGAACCACGAATACTGCATGATTCAATATTTCTTACAGTAAAACCATTTTCTTAAGGTTCTTTACCATTATAACTCCACTCCCCTCCCCAAGGAAAAACTGGGCTTATTGGGAAAAAATAAAATGGCAAAGAGTTGAGTAATAAAAAAAAAAAAGGTATGCCTGTTGCAGAGTGTTTGTTTTTTCCAATGTCTAAATGAGGTGGAATTTTGGTCCTGCTGTGGCGATGATGTCGCTGTAGGGTTCCGACTGAGTGACCTCGATGGCTTGCTGCTTCTTGAGGACAAGGAAACTGTAAAACTTGGCGGCTGCCTGCTTCCTGTTGTTGTTTCTGCACAGGTCGAGGAGACTGACTGACTCGGCACCAGTCTTCGCCATGACACGCTGCGGGGACAGAGGGACAAGAATCAGGCAGAGCACATTTGTCATGAAAACAACAAATATAGACCTGCCTCAGTGGGAAGCCATTATTTGTGTGATCAGGGTAGTGTTTACCTGCAGACCGTGAAGCATCTGTTGAGTTCTCTTGTTCCATCTCTTCTCTTCTTGATCCTGATCTCCAGCTTGACCCTCCTCCTGAAAACCACAAATTAGCATAGAGGGGTTAAAACACTCGTCTCTCAATCGCTCAATTTATCTCTTTAGTTAGTCCTTTTTAAATCTGTAATTTTTACAATAACTCACAAAAAGAAAAGGTTTTAGGAGGGAAACGTTAGTATTATCCTTATAAATGAAGTTTGTAGAGTTGCACAAAAAAAAACATCTATAAAAAGAATAAGAGGCTTTAAAGAAAGTGGACATTTAAAACAGTAAAAACAGATTTGATGAAAAAAAAAATATAATAATAATCTAGGTTTAAAGCCGTAGGGAAGCGGCTGTTCCAAAGGTTGCAGTTCCGGATTCTCCCGATTGGTGCCCGACTTTACAAGAGTGAATAAAGTGAATGTGATTGGTCGTTTATCAAGGGGTCGGAATTGTTGTGGCGGAAGGTTCGCAAGCAAGTTTGGTTGTGGACGGTGTCTAGGAAGCATCTTGCTAACCAGTTAGCAACTTAGTGCTAGTAGGTTCCCAATGGGACATGAGAGAAACGACACTGTCAAGGAACGCTATGGACAGAGGAAACATGCAAGAGGAGGACAGTTTTGTGTCAGAGGTCGTGGATGAGTCTCCTCGTCATACATTTTTTTTTTATTTAGAGGAGGAAAGCGGGGACGAAGTTGTTGTGGAAAAGGACGCCAGGGCAGCAGAAGCTTTGTTTGGTGTAGAAGGCTTACAGCCGTACATGTTTTAGCTCTTGCCTCGCAACGCTGCCAGTTCTGTTAACTCTATGCCTTCCGAAGACACACGTCGACCCCCGTGAACACTGGGATGGAACTCAATGGTAAAGTAATAGATTCTTATTTCAACCGTTGCGTATGTTAGCTGCAACATATGAATCAAGATCCCATGACCGAAAAAATATGATTGACAGATGACCATTGATAGATTATTGGCCAAATTTAGGTGTAAAGGCTGATGTTTAACTAACTGGCCTGCATAAAATAATGAAAAGAAAACAAAAAAGAAAAACAGATTTTAAGACAGGATCTTTTTTTAAATAGAAATTTTTCTAACTTTTGGGACAATATGGTCTAATAAAGAGTACATTTATATGCATGTTTAAGCCAGAATGATTTGAAAATGAAATATGACTTCCCTACGACTTTAAAGATTATGCAAACAGGTAGGGGTCAGCAAACAGCATCAAAGCACAAAACCTAATCGAGCACAGCAACTGGTGCAACCCTTCCTCCAGCCATTTCTTTGTACTTCCAATCAGGTAGCAATAAGATGGCTGCTAGAGCCCTAATAAGGATTTTTGGACATGTGTCCAATTAAAAAAGTAGAAACAGTAAAGATGTGAGCATCATCACACCTATAATGACAACAGTTTTAAAACTAATGGTAAGCCATGTCTTACTTGTTTGCTTTGGTTTCTGCCATATTTGTTGAATATTGTTTTCTAAAAATCTAATTCTCTTGCTTTGATTTTTCTTTTGTTCACAGTTAATGATTAAAATAAACATGAATTAATTCAGATGTTTGAGTATTTGAAGTAAATAGAATTTTCCACTGCTGGTAGTATATTATTCTGTGTCTGATTATTGCACTGGTAGATAGTCTTTTGTGCATGTATAGATAAGATATTTAATCTTTCTGCCCAGGGACTGCAGATGACTAATAGCCTTTAGGTGTTCTCTGCTGCATTTGCAGAAATGCTATTAATGTAATTTTCCTGTCAAATAAACGTTTTCTATTCTATAGGAGCAGCACATATAAGCACACAGCTGACTGGCTCACTAGCAGAGCCAACAATCTAAATAACGACCAGCTAACATCGGCGGCTGGTGTCGTGTCAAAGAACAGAACCTCTAGAGAGGATCAATATTCTATGCAGCAAAAAAACGATAGAAAAAAAAATTAACAAAACAAAAACAGGAACATTGTTGTAAATACTATTATGGTGTGGAAATATTTTTCCCCACTTGCAGCCTTCATAAAAATCTAGATTTCCCTCACCTCCTCTTCTTCGCTGTCATCCTTCTTATCCTTTTCCTTGTCGGTGAGAAGGTCGAGCTCAGGGACAAGCTGAGTGAGGTTGACAGTGGTCTCCTCTGGGGGCAGATCAACCTGAGGCATGTCTAGCCTCTGTGACAAGTCTGAGCGGTCAGCCACCTGCTGCTGCTGCTCCAGGGGAGTCATCTGGAGGAGGGAGGAAAGCAAGAAAGGTTCAAGTAGGAACTTAGAGGACGGTCCACTTTATTTGATTTCTCATCTCTAATTTCAAATGATGCTGTTTAATATTAGATCAGTAAAGATAACCATAGATATTTGCATCTAAACTAACTTAAATACAAGAAACTATAACCATAAATTGTAATTTCTAACAACATTTCTCTCAATTCCCTCTTTCAATAAACTCCAGAGGCAGGAGGAGGGGCCCCAGGCTTTGTACTTACAGGGATGGGGCCCTCTTTGTCCATGGGCTGCTTGCGTTTTACACCACGGGGGGTGGATGGAGGAGGCATCACTGTTTCATCCAAAGCCGTCCTGCTGCCTTCCATAGCAGAGGCTGCCAGTATACTTGGCTCCTCCATGATAGTCTGGTCTGGTGAGAGAGACCATATCAGAAATGGTTAACAACCTGCATTACCTACCCCCCACCCCACCCCCCAAAAAAACAACAACAAAAAAAATCACTGTAATACAATCTCCATCATGACATACCAATGACATCTCTGTTCTGAGTCATGATCTCCTCCCTTGGCACCTCTGGGTTCTCCAGCTCTTTGAGGAACTCATCCAGACTGTCCGCCTCGCCGCCCTTTCTGCGTTTCCTCAGCTCGTCTGGCACCAGAGGTGTCAGGCAGCGTGTGAACATCTGTCAGAGAATTACAACTCAGATAAGGGACTGTTTTTTTTTTTCTGTAGCTACAAACTTAAAGTTAGAAAAGCAAGAAAATGAATTAATCCAAAAAACAAATGTTAAGTTATGCATGCACACGTTTTCTACTTAGCATTCAGACCAAGTGGAAGAAGGAGAGGGAGAAAAGAGACAAAACCCAATCTCTTCCTTCATCTCCTGTTCCCTGGTTGCTCTCATTTTAAATCTTATACCTGAACAGAATCTTAATGAAAACTGGGCTTAAGTCCATTTCTCTACTCACATAATTTCAAACCAACTCTGACAATGACATCTCCACTGCATTTAAAAACCATTTAAAATAGTGACTGGATGTGATTCTAGCAAGACAACTCATTATATCGGAATGCTTTCACACAGTGATATATTAGAGCTTAGGATCATTTATGAAGTTCCCTCAGTACCTTGAGTAACCGGGCGTTCCAGAGGGGCTGCGCAGGCAAAGAGAAAAGCTTCTCCACTCCTCCCGTTTCCTTCCACATCATGAGCTTCTTAGTAGGAGGAGCAAGATCCAGGGTGGTCACGATATCAGAGTAGTCAGACAGCTGGGCTCTGATGGTCTTACTGTCCAACTCCTTTACACTGTCAACAATCAGCTTCCTCTTACGTTTTGCCTTGGTCTCTTTCACTGGAAAGAAAATCCAATGCAAAGTGAAAAGACTGCTCATTTTTTGAGAATCATAACTAAAAGAAAAAATTGGTAAATGGATCATTAGACACCTCATAGTTTATCAGCCTTTAAAAACCTCAGTTAAATCTTGATTAAAAGACAATAAGTTAATTAAATAATAAGAAAAACAATGCTTTAATTTATAATGAAGTAATAAGCAATTCATCCTTTTCTGTAATTCGGGATATCAAAAAGGAAGTACCATAATAATAAATAACAGACGGAAACAAAAGCTAGCTGTAAACATCTTGTCATTTTATTTCTCTCGTCTTCATTGCATCACCTCACCCTAACTAGGGCTGCAACTAACGATTATTTTAAAAATCGATGAATCGGCCGATTATTTT